CCTGAATACCCATGTCTCACCTTGTGGGCAGCCAACAAATTTTGAACATCTTTCTGATGTGGTCTCTGTAAATATTATTTGTTGTATAACTTGATGAGTGATTTGACAAACTTGTACAAGCATTCGCACGACGTTCTCGCAAACATCCTCTAGATAATCATCAAGTGCGTCAGCATATAATGTGTCGTATGCCAGTAGTCGGACCGCTATGGCGCACTTTTGTTTGGTACTAAAATCTAACTTGTGTTTGCCATCTGATTGTAGAGAAAAAAATTATCTACATGGGCCAAATCCTTGGCAATAAGGAGGAAAAGATGGCGATTCATTGGCACATTTCATTACGTTTTGATTGACTTATTGACTTTGATTTAAAACTTAATTGTGTATTATTTGATACGGAAAGATTAATTAATAATTTATATTATTTAGTTAATTAGGTATAGTAGTTTAATTATTTTTATTTACTTTTTATTATTGAGTGAGATTATAACACTCCTTCGAGGGTTTCTTTTCGGTTCTTTACCTCGACACTTTTATTGAACCGATAGGCTTAAAAATTAAGTATTTGCTAGGCTTAGAGTTTACCGTCTTCATCTATATTTTGAGTTGTAACCCATTTTATATTAATCATCAAGAAGGAAATCAAAAACATTATTCCCTCAACCCTAATTGGCTAATTCTCTTCTACCTCTCCTCTGTAGCCGCAGAGTTTTCTTCCTCACCTCCTCTACTTTCTCTCATCTTCTCCCAAATTCTTCACTTTCTTCCCCTAATTCCTCAATCTCCCTTCTCTATTTGATACATTACTGTATCTATTGGTGCTCTCATTCCTTGAACTGGCAAAAAAAATACACAAAAAAATCCATTCCCCTCCGATGGGATCGGTATGATTTGCATCAAGAACTTGGGCTTCCATATCAATTATGTCGTTGTCCCTCTTGTTTTGAAAATAAAGTAAAACTCAGCGGGCAAAGTCTTGTGCACAATTCATATCAGAGACTAGCCGCATAAGTTCGGGTTCCGTATTTGCCATCAGAATTGGTTTCATCGCAATTGAAAATCAAAAAGCAGCCTCACCCTAATTTTGATGCCTTGAATATATGGAGTTTTGCAGCCGCAACCCAAAAGGTTGGTTCTACACCCTGCATATTGATTTTGGCCATAATTAGGGATTTTGCATTAATTTTCTCAATTTATTGCAAAAAAAATCAAGGCCGGGGTGTTTGGCCCTATGACAAATTTCATGGCCTCATCCTTAAATGATGTTTGGTTAGTTGTCAAGAATCTCACCCTTGCTCCGTCAGGAACAAATTGATTTGTCGCGACGCATTGATGATGCATTCTATATTTTGAAAACTCGGGAGACCGTGAGTGATTACAAAAGTAGGTTTTGTTATAAGAATTTTAAGCCGCGACAACCAGATCTGGATTTTTCAACGTTGTTTTATAGAATTACAGGTATTCGTCATAATGCATGGATGTCAAATATTGAACAACCAAAAGAAGAGCAATTGCATGAACGTATTGAAGAAGCCATATCAGTCGTGACAATAGAGAAAGACATTGTTGATCCTTCAAGTGTTTCCGATGAGGTTTGAATTCTCATTTCTGATGATTGTGCTAAGGAATTCCAAGGTGACATAAGCTTGGCAAACCCGTTGGTGTTGCCCAATGATGTTTCGCCACCAAGGGCTTTTTCATTGAATGACATGTTCAAAGGAGTAAGGGGTCATGTTGTACTTGAGGGTGGTAGCGGGCTGCATTCGGTTGGTTTCGAGGGCTCTTCCCGCTTCACATGGCTTGGAGTTCTTTTTTTGCCTTGCCAAAATTCTAGAGCTTGGTCCGAAAGTGTACAATTTCTTTTGTTCGTCGTGTCGTCTCATGTTTTGAAGCTTGAATGGGATCCCCCACCGTACATGGCATGTACGAAGTCATTGCAGATTTTTTTTCCTACTTACACCTTGAGGACAAGGTGTGTCTCTATCGGGGTGGCAGTGATACGGAAGGATTAATTAATAATTAATAATTTATATTATTTAGTTAATTAGGTAGTTTAATTATTTTTATTTACTTTTTATTGTTGAGTGGGATTATAACACTCCTTGGAGGGTTTCTTTTCGGTTCTTTACCTCGACGCTTTTATTGAACCAGTAGGCTTAGGAATTAAGTATTTGCTAGGGTTAGGGTTTACCTTCTTCATCTATATTTTGAGTTGTAAGCCTTTTTAGATTAACCATCAAAAAGAAAATCAAAAACATTATTCTTGTTGGGAAATATTGATTAAATATTCAAAAAGAAAGGAAAATAAAAGAAAAACAAAAGAAAAAGATAAGGAGTAGTGGCATGGATTTGGACGTAAAACATGCACATGGAGAGTCTTTTTTTGGTTTTGTTTCTATCTCTTTGGATTGGTACAAATGCATTACAACTCGTGGGTACATTACACATAGTTGAGTGTATTATTTTGAAGCATTAAGGGAATTGAGGTGCTTTAAAAGGAGTGAGACTCAACCTGGATGTGTGTGTGGGTTTTACACACCACCAAGGTAGAGAGAGAAAAAGAGGAATTTTATACAAGAATACCACCGGGAAAATCCAAGAGGTCTTGGTGAATGTGGGTGAGTGTTGGGAGTAACTGGTTTTAGTTACTCGGAAAAATACATCCGGGCATAGGATGTGAAAAGATCTGTTTATGAGTGTCTAAAATTTAGTCTTGTAAACAAGGGAGAATTCTCATATTGTCCTGAAATGGTGGAAATATAATTTTTTTCTCTCATATTTTCTTCTTGTGTTTGTTTTCTCATTTTTCTGGTGTTCTCAATATTTTTCGGTATCTTACGCGTTTAAAATCCCAACAATTGGTATCGGAGCTTGGTTGCGCTGGGCAGGAGGGATTTGTAAGCGGTAAAAGGAAAAATTTTGAGAACCCAGGGACTGGTCGATTTTGGCCAGAAGGCAACCATGGGACTTCAAGAACAAAGTGGATGACATGAGGACCGGGTACAAAGCGGCATGCTGGCTTTGTGAAGTATGGTGCAGGAACAGGACTTGAGGAGATCGGTGATCTAGCGGAGTGAAAAACTGCGGCTTATGTCTTGTGTCGAAAGTCTTCCCGGCAAGAAGAGGTCGGGCGGCGTGTTCCACTGATGTTGCTGCGGCGGTGCAAGATGGGCGGATCGAAAGAAGCTAATTGCTAGATGGGTGGTCTCAGAGAGTGTTAACAAAGGTGATTTGTCATTTTTTTAAGCTCGGGGTGGAGGGTTAAAACTCTTATGAGCTAAAGTGTTGGTGGTGATCTTGACGGGTTGGTTGAGATGGAGCCACGGGTACAACGATAACTGGAAATGGTGAGGATCTTGTCGTATTGAGCAAGGTGAGGCCACGACCATGAGTCAACACATGGTGGCGGAGAGCTTGCGGTATTGAGCAAGATAAGGTCATGAAAATTTTTTCAAAGTGATAGTGATCTTGGTGGTTGGACCAAGGTGGAGCCACGAGATTTTTTTTTGAGGTTGGCAGCGGTGATCTCGGTGGAGCAGATCGAGATGGCCCCAAGGATTTTTTTTCTTTCACAGTAGCGGTGATCTCACTAGAGAAGTAAGATGGAGCTACAAAGTTTTTTGATTATTTAATCAATGTGCAGTTTGTTGGGAAATGATGATTAAATATTCAAAAAGAAAGGAAAATAAAAGAAAAAGAAAAGAAAAAGATAAGGAGTAATGGCATGGATTTGGACGTAAAACATGCACATGGAGAGTCTTTTTTTGGTTTTGTTTCTATCTCTTTGGATTGGTACAAATGCATTACATCTCGTGGGTACATTACACATAGTTGAGTGTATTATTTTGAAGCATTAAGGGAATTGAGGTGCTTTAAAAGGAGTGAGACTCAACCTAGATGTGTGTGTGGGTTTTACACACCACTATGGTAGAGAGAGAAAAAGAGGAATTTTACACAAGAATACCACCGGGAAAATCCAAGGGGTCTTGGTAAGTGTGGTAAGTGTTGGGAGTAACTGGTTTTAGTTACTCGAAAAAATACATCCGGGTATAGGATGTGAAAAGATCTGTTTATGAGTGTCTGAAATTTAATCTTGTAAACAGGGAAGAGTTTTTGTATATTGTCCTGAAATAGTCGAAATATAATTTTTTCTCTCATATTTTCTTCTTGTGTTTGTTCTCTCATTTTTCTGCTGTTCTCAATATTTTTCGATATCTTACGCACTTAAAATCTCTACAATTCTCTCAACCCTAATTCTCTTCTACCTCTCCTCTCTAGTCGCACACTTTTCTTCCTCACCTCCTCTACTTTCTCTCATCTTCTCCCAAATTCTTCACTTTCTTCCCCCAATTTCTCAATCCCCCTTCTCTATTTGATACATTACCGTATCATTATTCATATAAAAAAATTGCACTAAATAACAACAAAAGTTAAGTCATTTCCCTAAATAACACTTAAACTATTTTATTTTCTAAATAACATCTAATAATGTTCAGTGATGACAAACATTTACTTGAATAATGACTAAAAATGCTACAGTGTGAAAAAACACATATGATACTCCCTCCATCCCAAAAAGATTTACACCTTCTAAAAAAATTACGTCCCACAATCTCCTACCCATTTATATTAAAAAAGCATTTTTGCCCCTTACTTTTTCAAACCTTACCTATCACATCGTACCTTTTTCCTAATAATCATCCTACTTTTTTACCATCACATCAAGGGTATTTTTGAAAACAACACAAAATTATCCCTCCCTTAGTTTCAACTTTAGTCAAAACGTGTAAATCTTTTTGAGACGGAGGTAGTACTATTTAGGGAAAGTCATTATGTTTTAGTGCTATTTACCTAAATTCATACTCCTTATAATATGTGACTCGTTACTCCATTACTTTTGGCCATTTAGAGGTAGCTTAATTTAAGATACACAACACATATAGAGATGCAAAGGTACAGATCCTATGTGGGATAATTAAGATGGATAATGATGGGCATGTACGTACATTACCTGCTTATTCCTTATAAACTAAAGCTACCTTGGCATGCAAAACCACAAAACACCCAAGTATCCAACAGTACACACATGCATAACACAAAAATTAATAAGTAAGCTTGAAATACACAAACTAGTCTGCCTTTTCAGCATGTTGTTGGGATTTGGCCGCCATTGCTGCAGCAGAGCGCTTGTCTTCCGACGTCTTGGCGAGAATCTCGTCCCTCTCCTTGAAGTACCTCTCGAATGCCCGAGGCAGAAACCGCGGAATCAAAAACCCGAAGAGGTTGATGCAGAAGTACCCCATATTAGCCCCCGCCAACGTCCTCCCAAACCAAAACCATGCCACTTCCTGAAATAGATTGGGTACAAGTTGGCTGTTAGAATATAAAATCTTTCCTACGTCTACGACCAGAAGCTTGAACTTTTAGTTGAGTTGGTTTTTTTTAATACCTTGAACTGAGCATTAGCGGGCAAGGACTTGTTAACCCAGACATCGTGCACCCAGTCTAAGATGACAAAGATCCTACGAACCGTATAGAGCAACGGGACGAGGGCTCGGACGGGCGGGGAGAAGAGAGCCAGTCCGCTAATGATATTCTCGGTGAGTATTTGGAACGAGAGGAGGAAGAGATGAGGGGTCGCGGACCGGACGGCGTGCTCGTCGCCCCTCGCGAACCCGCCCAAGACGTACGCCAGCGGGAGGAACAGCCCGACTGTGGTCCCGACCACGACGTAGACCCGGAAAAGGCGGCTCCCTTGGAATATTTCCTGGGTCCCGTACCCGCCCGCCGCCCGGCGGCCGTGGTGGGAGGGGAAGGCGAGGCGGGATAGGGCGAGTAGGTAGGCGGTGGTGAGGGCGGGGAAGACGAGGTCGAGAAGGGGGACGAGGCCGCTGGCGGAGAAGACCATGATGAAGGCAACTAACTGAAGCTCGATCAATCGGAGGGATCCCATTATGCCGACGGCTTGTTTTTGCTCCGGGGGTGATTTTGATTTGTCCATGTCTGTTGAAGACACGGCTAGGGACACTCCAGACATTGTTTGTTTGTTTTTTTATTTTATAAATTATATTTCTTCCTTTAATAACTTTGTTCTGAGTTGGTCACTGATTCTTGGGTTCTTTGGAGTTGAGTTTGAGAACTGTCATGTCATCATAAGAAATCACAATTATTAATTCAAATCCTGAAGATTAAATGGAATTAAGAAATGTCTTTCGAATAATCCTAACATCTATAATTAACATCCCAACCCACAACAACAACAACAACTCAATTAAATCCCACAAGAGTAGGGTCTGCGGAGGGTGTGTGTACGCATACCTTGCCCCTACTCGAAAGTAGAGAGACTGTTTTTAAAGAGACCTCCGGCTCAACATCAAAAGTTGCATTGCTTGACTAACTGCTACTTCATTAATTAAAGAAGCGCAGACAGTTTAGAGATCCATTTTGATTTATTCCATCACACCCCAAAGCTAAAAAATGGTGAAATTTTGGCTCAATCGGAGATGATGGAAATAATTAACATCTCAACCCAATAATCCCAATTCAAACCAACCTAACAAAACCCTTTCTCATGTAGACATTACCTACCTAGCTTGGGCAATATATAAGGCACAACAAGCTGGTGTACGATGTAAAACTCATTTACGAGTAATTGAAGCTAAGATTCATTTTGAACGATTCTATACTCATTTTTGAGTAACTGAATACTCATTTTTTCCAAAAATTCACTTATGCTTGAGAATGAATATTCTATATACTGTTACTCGAAAAATAAGTATTCAAAAATGAGTATTCAGTTGCTAAAAAAAAGTATTTTCATTTAGATATTCCAAAAAACACTTTACATTCGGATGTATGAAAACCTTTCTTCTTTCTTTTTTCACCCGTCCCAAAAAACACTTCTTATTTCTATTAAAAAGTTACTTTAATTTTACCCTTTACTTTTTCATATCCTACCTATCACATCATATCTTTTTACTAATAATCTACCCATCAAATCCTATACCAAAATACACACCCCTTAAATCTCTTCAAAATCAAAACATCTCATGTTTAAAGAGACAGAGTGAGTATATAAGTATTCCCTAGCTCAAATCACCAACAAAATTTTGAATATAGATTACCAATTTCACTAAAAAAAAGTAGAACTCATTGCTTCAATCCCAAATTTATTGTACACTTTATCTTTTTGAAGTGTCATGAAAATTGTGAATGGTAAAAATAAGTACTTCCTGAAGAACATATATATCAGCATGGTGGCAAATTAAACTCAAGAAAGCAATTCAGCTAAGCTCAAATTTGTGATTATTCTAAATAAAGAGCTAACAATGATTCATAAAAAAAAACCCAAACAAACAAAAAACTTAGAGAGTATAATAATAATTTAAAAAAAACATAGTCCTAATAATTATAAATCAGATTTAGAAAAGTAAAAAACAACACTTACCGCAATAATTGAATCCGATAAGGCAGAGGAGATTATTATGTGTGTGCGTGTGAGTGAATATGATAATGGGATTGAGATTGAAGAGAGATGAGATGAGATGAGAAGTGCGTGATTTGGGAAGATGGGGGGGGGCGCTCACATGCGGACACGTGTGGGTGAACTGGCGCAATGTGACACGTGGATGCGAGAGGATTCAACACGTGTGGGGGCTTCGGAAACGGGCGGCACCTCGTACCTGTCGCCTTCGAAAGCGCGCGGGTCTTCCTACCGGCTTCATACTTCCCCCCACCCTTCCGGACCTATTCAATTTTCTTTTTGTTTAAAGAGCTTCTTATCTCTCTATTAGTGTGTAATTCTTAGGGACTATGTGTTTCAGTCTCTTAATGGTTCAGATGTTTGAATGGTTCAGCATTTAATGGTTCAGACTATTTGTTTCAGCCTCTTAATGGTTCAGATGTCTGAATGGTTCAAACATTTGCCTCTGAATGGTTAAGTATTATACAGAGTCTGAATGGTTAAAACCTCTTACCTGAATTGATCAGACATTTGCCTCTGAATAGTTAAGCAATATACTAGCTCTTAATGGTTCAAACCTCTTACTGGTTCAGCACTTAATGGTTCAGACCTCTCACTGGTTCAGCACTTAATGGTTCAGACCTCTTACTGGTTCAGCACTTACCTATTCAGAAGTTGCAAAACAGCCTATAGTGTATCTATTACTCTCCACATTATATATACGTAGTATTTACTATCAAACTATGAATCACATTTTCCTTTTATGCATTTTTTTTGTTTTTTAAAAATATTTTTTTCTTTCATTTTTTTGTTTTCTCTAAAACACTTAGACTTTCTATTAAAAACTACTTTTACCTTTGTTTTTTCTTACCTACCTATCACATCATATTTTTTACAAATAATCTATCCATCATATCAAGGTAAAATTAAAAAGTTAATCACAAATATACAGTCCTTATTTCTCCTAAAAGTCAAAATAGAAACCGTTTTATGAAACGATAGGATATTATCACATTAAGTAATTAGAAATCACCCTAAACAGGACTAAAACATAGAGAAAAGTACCAAAATAGGACTTTCATGTTTTTTTCCACGAAATAGGACTTTGCACTGTTGTAATGTTATTTTGCATTGTGGTAATGTGGCAGTGTACATGTGCACATTACTATACTTTTTTGGTAATGTATATGACCATGTTTGGTAATGTAAGTCCTATGTCGGAAAAAAAACATGGAAGTCCTATTTTGGTATATTTTCAATGTTTTAATCCTACTTTGGTCTTTCTCTCTTAAGTAATTTGGGAAAGTAAAATCACAACTATTCAATTCCTTCATTAAAATTCTTACAAGTACTGAAAACAGAAAACATTTTTAAGAATGGAGAGATTATTATATTTTGGATTAGTTTTGAACTGATTGAGTCATTTTGATCAAATTGGAACATCTTTAAGTTCAGTGATCTCCACCTTGGAGCCTCGCCCCCATTCTCTCACAAACATGAGTTTGTTGTCAAAGAGGGTAGGTAGTATCTCCTCTTAACAATCTCATCCCTCTCTTTAAAGCTTTTAAAACTCACTATGAATACACCTTCCTTTAGTAATGATACATCTTCAAATTATTGTCCTCCTCTCCTAGCCATTCTAGAGAGAGAAACTAGTGTTTATTATTGATGTTATAACTATTACTATTACTATTATTATTAAAATTATTATTATTATTATTATTATTATTGTTAGCATTATTTTGAAGGATTATTATTATTACATTGATGTATTAGCTTTTCCATAGTGTATGTTCTCGTTTGACTTTTTTCGAGTTAAACTGGATAAACTTTGAACTCCAATTAAAAAAAATTAAAGTTCCCAACAAGACTAATATAATAAAATCATTTTTATTCTAATATACATTATAATTTTTATTTAATCGAAACTCAAAATTCATCTTGTTTGACTCAAAAAAGTTAAACATGAAAAATACATCGCGACAGAGGTAGTAGTCTTCTACCCATTTTCATTGTTCATTCGTTGTAGTTTTTATTTTTAATTCTACACCAATTTTCACATAAAATGAATTAAAAATCATTTCAATCAAATCTCGTAATCGTAAAATAAAGGTGATTTAATTTAAGTGATTTAAATTAGGTGATTTTTAATATCATTAAATGGGTACAGACTTTTTAAAATTCCAACTGAGAACATGTTCTTTAGAGCTGTATGTTAGAAGAAACAAGAAAAAATTAGAAAAACTAGAAGAAACTAGAAAAAACTAAAATAGAAATCACCCTAAATAGGACTAAAACATAGAAAAAAGTACCAAAATAGGAGTTCCATGTTTTTATTCTCGAAATAGAATTTCGCACTGTGGTAATGTGGTTGTAATGTGCATTGTACATGTACACATTACTATACTTTTTGGTAATGTACATGACCATGTTTGGTAATGTAAATGTATTTTAAGTCCTATCTCTGAAATAAAAACATGGAAGTCATGTTTTGGTATATATTCAATGTTTTACTCCTACTTTAGTTTTTTTCCCAAACTAAAAACTATAAGAAACTAGAAGAAACTGAAAAAAACTTCAAAAAACTATTTAAATGTATTTTACAAAACATTCTTATTATAATTGTTGTTGTTGTTGTTGTTATTGTTGTTGTTGTTATTATTATTATTGTTGTTGTTGTTATTATTATCATCGTCGTCGTCGTCATTATTATTATTACTATTACTATTATTATTATTTTTACTACCAATTTCTTTTGAATTTATTGACTCTATTACAACTATCACTAGTTTTCTACCTCATGCTACGCATAGGCTTGTTATTGAGGCTCGTTGTCATAATGTTATTGAGGCGATGGTTGGAAATGGAAGGTTTGGTTTATGACTTGATTTTCTTCCGTGCTACGCTTGGGCACGTGTTAAAGGATTGTGTATGTTTTGGTTTTGTAGGATTTTGAAATACTACATTGTATCCTTTTGTTTTGTGAAATGTGAAGAGTGATATTATTGTATTTTGGGGGTTTTTAATTTGATGTTGGTGGTTGAAGAGATTCATTTTTGTAATGATTTTAGATGTTCATTTTGGCATTGTACTGGTTGATGTTCATTTTGGCGTTTTGATGTTTGTGGGGGTAAGATGATGCCTGGGTGTCTGTACCGGTTACCAATGAAGCGAAGATTGCGAAGGACAAACATCAATACTTGGTGTTTGTACACGTTGGCGTACACATTGGCGTTTAATGTTTGAAGTCTGTACACGTTGGCGTTTAATGTCATGTCACGTATGACATGTGTCAACACTACAACCATTAAACTCTCTTTTACACACACACACACACACACACACACACACACATATAGGATAGGATATATAGGATAGGATATATATAATATGCAAAGAAATTGAATAAAATTTGACCACATAAATAGTGTACACGCTATTTAATTTGGGATAAGGGTGGGAGTATAATTATTACTCCCTCCGTACCAAAAAGAATGAGACGGTTTGACTTTTTGGGAAATTAAGGGGGAGATATTTTGGTATTGACTTTCCAAAAATACCCTTGATGTGATGGGTAAAAGTAGGATGTGATGGGTAGATTATTAGAAAAAAGGTATGATGTGATAGGTAGGGTATGAAAAAGTAAGGGGTAAAAGTGGTTTTTTAATATAAATGTAACGGACTTTACGGGACGCAGTTTTTTCTAAACGTAACAAGCTTTTTGGGACGGAGGGAGTACTT